TAACAGGAAAACGTATGTGTGTATAACAGATTTTACGTGCTACATATTGAGATACAGGAAAATATTACCGTTTCTGAGGATTAAGGTATTACACCACTCTAAAGGTATCGTATAATTTTATTGCTACACCTTTTAAATAAGTACACGACTTACAAAATAAACCGTTGGTGGGAGACATCAGTGAGACCATTTAATTTTATAAGAAAAATATAACACTAATACAGCTTTATGAATATTTGTAAAAAAGAAACAAAGAAATTTAATATGTAAAAATCTCGTGTATCATCTAATTCTTTAGCTTGACAGATTTTTACAAACTTCTTGTTGTATATGCATTGTATTGCATGGTAGGTATGAGAATAGTTCGTAAACTATTTTTTTATATCTAAGATGATAATAGTAGTCCTATTCAGAAATAATTTATAAGGCAAAACAGCATTTGATGGGACAGGTATGTTTATAACTTTTTACTTTTAAAGTAAAATTCTTTCGGAAATTTACATATGCCTCCGTGTGTTCCGACTTTTAACAATATATATAACTAACATTGCTATACATATTTATATATATTTACTATTCTTACGTAAGATGATACCATAACATTATTGTATAAACCTATGCAAACCCGCACAACTGAGAGTTTAGTTTACAGGCTTAGTGTCTAGTTCAGTTCCGAGGCTCATACAATCACAAATTGTGTATGAAAATGATTTACATAAGATCTGTGCATGATTGTGGCTTAATACATTTATTATTGTTATAATTACTTTACTAGTAGTAGGTATCTAAGTTGAGATAGCACGGATTCCCTCATGACACTGCACTCAGGTGAAGGAATTTTCCTTTTTTACGGCGTCAAGTGTAATCTTGGAAGTGCATTAGATCTTTGATGGAACACGAAAGACAACTTTGTTTGACTTCTGTCGTGTTAGTGTCGAGTAAAATAACGTTTTGTCTAGACGAAAAGTAGGTGCACTCTAAGGAAGACAAAGATTTTAAAGACAATGTGTTGCGATGCATTTTCTTTTCTGGAGCTTCATGCCTTTGATATTTTTAAATGTTACAGACAATATAGGTTTCAAATTTTACACTTGCATACTATACTTTAATTATAAAAGTATACCTCTCTTATTATTATTTTTTATAAAGTTTTTTTCATAAAGAGTGTTGTTACGTAATTCTTTCCATTTTAGTCAAATATTTTCTTATATCCTGAAAAGTACATATATTCAAAATATAAATAGGTGATGTTCTTATATATACATTCGGCAATTATTTTTTTATATTTAATTAAGTAATCTCTTTGCTAAGCTAAGCCAAATACAATTAGGTATACATAAAATACTCGTATACCTTTCTAATACTTATAGATATATAACTTTTAAATATAATAATTATTCAAATATATGAATAAAATAATTATTGTTTGGTTTAATAAGCCACGAACTTTGTCGTTACATTTATTGTTTATGTATGTTACTATTAAACTAAATTTCGAACTTTAGTGCGAGTATCAGAAATAACATTTTATCTAACAAATATAATATTAGTTACAAGTTTATGAACGACTATGGCAATTTAAATAACTATTTTGAAAGAAAATTTATCGTATATCAATTTAGTTGGTTCTTCAAATTATTTCTTAAAACGTGTTCATAAATATTTCAATATCTGGAAAATATTGTAATTTCTTAGCTGTAAATTATTGCTAATATTATTTATATTTTAAAATTAAGTATTACGGATACCATTGAAATTCAACCTATAATAAATGAAAATCAGCGTACAATATTTTAAAGGAAAATAGAAAAATATATAATGAAGTATGTATCAAATATAAGTATGCTTTAAAACTTCTATTTCTAAGGAACACAGTACAGAACATACAGAAAATTGAAGTGATATTCTATTTCTCTCATGTCATAAAGATTTCAGATCTGCCGCTTTCAATCTTTAGAAAGTTGTAACAAATTCAGCTGTAAAAATACTTTAATACCCGTACTTGCGTTACATATGATCCTTTAACTCAATTTCTATTTATTGAATACGTTTAGACATTACCTTTCACAAACATATCTATAGAAATTTTGTTAAACATCGTTATATTTTTGGTTGTGTTTAAAATCAATTTTATAATACGTTAAATAACACATATATATATATATTTCTCTAACGGTATTCTGCCAAACTTCTATTTGAATATATATAAGACTATGAATATTTATTAATAAATAAATATATGATTTAACATTTAATTTGATTCAAATAATTTAAAGCAAAAAATAAATCATTTTAACTAGTCTATGACATACATGTAATGTACACGAAGTACTAATTTACGGTACACTTCATTCAAATATGGCTATAACTGAAAGTTAGTGACAATTTTATTACTTTGTTATATTATTAATGGATTCAATGTTTCTTTTACTCCTGTTTTTTTTTATAAATTTGTTTGGCTAAAACCGTGTACCTAATATTGGAATATACTTTATATTCATACTTTCCTCTGTGTACTAAATTCTAATCATATGTTTTATATGATTAGAAATATAGTATAGTATAAGCATAAAATTTGTAAAGCGCACATCTCTCGAGATCATTCGCGCTGTACAAAATTCCATTTTCCTTTCGTCGGGTAAGAGAAATTCAATTTTTACTGAAATCCTGTTTTCGAACTGTTTTGGCGCATTATATATTCATACATTTCAAAGGTTGTTATAGGAATACATGTATACGTATATAAATATAAATAAGATGCAAATAAATATGTATCTTGTCAACAAATAACCATGTTATATACCTAATTTAATCCTATTTTTGCGTTTGATCTTGCAATGTGGAGGTGAATTTAATTAATGTGAATTTCAAGAGTCATGCCAACATGGTTATGATATGATTATACGAATACCATTTCTAATTAATAAAGATATATTAAATATATTACCATTAACTTTTTTCGGTGATGATGTAACATAATATAAAAATAGGCGAGTGGAGGGAATTTTTAGTAATGTAAACAAGGGGCTATGTTAGTTTAGTTCAGTCCTATTAGTTTAGGTTTACCACTTTACCTCTCCTAGTTTTTTCCTTATGACCAGTATACCTTGTGAATCAGCCACTATAGAATAACACTTACCTATATTTATACTCGTTCTATTATGCTCCACTGGTGTCTCGTCTGCGTATATAAAAGTGTCTACATAACCAATAATATTTTTAATATCAGTCGATAAGATCATAATAAAAATTAGGTAAATTAGTTCCATTGAAAGACATAAATATTTCACCATTATTTTTTATATTGATATTACACACTCCAATGTTTTAATAAATTATTTATCTGTCTATTTTTTTTATTACGTCCTATCCGTGTTAAGTATAATATACCCATACCACGTAATTCTTTTAGTTTTTATTTTTCTTTTAACTTTGTAAAATTCAAGTAATATAGTAGCACACAGCAGTGGGCGTCTATTATTACAGATATCTTCAGTTTTATTCTTTTTTTAAACTCATCATTTACCTACACTCGAGCCTTGAAGTCTCCTCCCACTAAAAAAGTCAACATAGAATAGGGTTAGGATTATTTATTTTGTATCTTTCATTTTCTTAGGGTCTCTGAGAAATACACAATAAATTTTCTTTACCCAGAGCTCATTTGCGGAACTTCGAAAATCCTTCAGATTTAGTCGAAAGGAACGGTAATCCTAGTCTAGTCTACTGGGACAGTGAAAGAAATGTCACAGTGTTCTAAAAATGTCTCACATATTTTTTTATTTATAAAAGAAGACATAAGACAAAGTTACGATCTTTCTATATATGAAATTTATATTGTTTTACCACCATTTCTCACTAAATAGAGTAATTAACATACACAATGTAATTTATAAAGAATGTTGAATTTTGGAAAATCGACTGAGAGTGATGTGTGTAGCTTGATAATTGAATATAAGAAAATGTTTTCTCTATTCGACTACAGTTTTTATATAACCGAATTACGCATTATTTTTGCTAATTCGGATTCAATCGGCAGTGCTCATAATTACATTAATAACTGTGCACGCTGTCTCACCTGGATAAAATTTTTAGCCTATGTGTTATTCTGATCTATAAGCTATATTATTGTAAAGTTTCATAAAAATCTACAAATAGTTTTTGCGTGATAAAGTAAAAAATCCATCCATCATCCACACTTAGCTACTTACATCTGACCGCATTCAGAACCGAGCAGCCAGATAAAGATCATTGGTAATCAACGTCTATGTGACAGACTCGACCCATTGGCTTTGCGGGAGATATTGCTTCTCTGTGCATTTTCTACCGCATATATCACTGGGAGTGTTCTGAGGAATTATTCGGATTAATACCAGCCGCTGAGTTTCACTACCGTACCACCCGTCAGAAACTAAAATACCATCCTGATTATCTGGATGAAAGGCTGTCTTCTACTTTTTGCCACGCACAACCTCATTGTGGAATCCAGCAATTGTATTTCCGAACCGATACGATATTGAAACTTTAAAGAAAAGAGCTTATTCCTTTTTAAAAGGTCGAGAACGCACTTGTCTTTCCCCTGGTGTTGCGGGTGCTCATGAGCGGCGGTAATCACTGGCATGGATAGCCGCATGCTCGTTTGTCCCCTGTGTTATATAAAAACTTACAAACTATAGCGTTTATATTATATATAATAATATGAAATATATATTGTTATTATTGAATTGTTTTTTAATAAAGTCATAAATTATTTACGATTCCTATGCATATGTTTTCTTTACGAAATACATAGATGGTAGTAGACAATAAAAATGACTTTATCACGTCTCAAGTAATGAAAAATTAAATTAACAATTCATAAAAAATATTCGTTCTCATATTTTATGGTACATTTTAGCCAACAAAGAAATTAATTTTGCTGTACTTTATTACGGTCATATCATAAAAATTGACTACTTATTTTTAAAGTCCCCTTTCTTATAAATCATTTTTATTGGTTTCAGATTATACAATATGTCTGCTCCAACTACTGATAGTACAGAAGCTATTACAAATTCTGGATATGGAAGCAGCGATGAGACTGCCAGTCTCATAGTATCAGGGCCATCAGTGACGGTTATTGTGCCATCTGAGAATCGGAGCGTTAAACCAGTATTACAAAGACAAGACTGTACTACTCATTTACGGCCTCAACTTTCGGGCGGCCCTGGCAGTGAAGAAAGTGCTGCTTCTATTAGATTAGAAGATGCTGCCGCAAGAAGTGTTCCTGACATAGAACTTCAGTGTCGAGATCAATCCGATCGCCCACAGACACTTGTATCGCCGATCGCTACATGCTCTCACAGGGGGTCAGTGACCGCCTGTCAATTAGTTCCACACACGTATTCTAGATGTCGCGTTTGCGAACGAAGGCAGTCTACAGCGCCCATATCGGCGTTACAACTAGCGCGATCTGTTTCACGGGAAAGTGTTCGCTCAGCCGTTCACTACACTTGCGGTTGTAGTTCACTTCATGCTGTTAGCACTTGCCCTGTGATACAACCCCCAGCTTTATTACTACCAGCAACAAGTACTAGAATTATCCGACAGAGTTCGCAACCGGAGTCTAACGCATGCGCTGCTCATTGCCCTCATCACGCCCACCATCACCCCAGCGCCTCGCTGCGTCAATTGAGAGAACCAGGCGATGGCATAGCGGGCATCGCAGCAGACTCCCTTCGCATAAATGGAGGGATGCGGCCTTTCAAACAGGTAAGTTCAGCTACCATTAGATGGCGCTACCGTTACATGTAAAACTGCTCAACGTTCAATGTGTGGAAAGGCTTATAAATGTACTGGCTAGAATCATTTATCATGAATTTAGAAACATTAAACTAAAACCAAACTAAAGAAATAATTATATTCTTAGTTCTCATAAAAATAACAACCGTTACACTCTAAATTACATAAAAAAAATACGTTGTGTTTAGAGTAAAAGCGAATAATCTTTTCAACGAGATGAAAAAGAAAAACGTTTTAGAATCAAAAATTTCTATCATGAGACTTTGTAATAAAAGGAGCTGAGTACACAGTTCTGCAAGCACTTTAGAAAAGGCTATCTAATTAGAGCGTTAAGTGAATTGCTCTAAGAAAACAGCTGTGTAATTGCTAAAGCGGTTTTGCTTAACTAAATACCAGGGGAAACTTTAACTAGCTTCATTTGGTAAGGATAGCTACACATATTTTCCAATACCATTAATTTGTTAAAAATGACTATTTGGTATATATTGTTTGTGGATTTATCAAAAAATAGGAGTTTACTTCCAGTACACAATAATCTGCATATTACTGCGAATAATTAGTTATACCCCTACCTATATAATTTTACTTCAGAAATTAAACAAACTGGTTTAGTAGTAAAATAATCGTGTCCGTGACTTCATTAGGTGGCTGCTTAACTTCGTTAAGTATTTATTTAGGATTGTAACTCATTTTACTTAATAGGTTTTATTTTCCACAAACAAAGAGTTGCTGTTATAAAATATTTACTTTTTCTTAAACATTCCAGCTTAAAAACTTATTCAAAAAAGTGAAAAGAAAATAAGGTACCTAGTACTTTAAACAAAAAAAAAATCATAATATAATTGTGTAGGATGGAGACCAAGATGACGAGCAAAAAGTAAAACGGCACCGTTATAGTTGTAGAATATTTTTGTATATTAAAATTGACTTATGTCATATAAAAACAATATAATATTATAAAAAATATAGACAATAAAAAAGGTATATAAAATAGTTTCCAACAATAATCGTTTTATGAATAATATTAATTATAATTATCAATAAGATATATTATTAGATTTAAATGTTCCTAAACTAAGTTGAGATACAGCAATATTAGTCAAATACAAATTAAATAAGCTAATATCAAACCAATCGTTTACTAATGTTTATATATTGTAATCATGTACACCACATCATTATCATGGTTAAAAATAGAATTTAATTCTGTACAAATATAAAAATCAATTTTTAAATTAACCTATGTATTTTTAAATAAAACTTCAATTATTAAATATATATATAATATAGCAGCAGTGTGAAGAAATCTTTACCAAATGTTTTAACTGAATAAGTCTTCGTCTTAATATCTTTTGCCTCATTTAATTTTCTAATATAGCATACAACAGTAGGTATATTAAATGGATAAATTCAGTAAGCACAGTTTCAGTCTCAATTTAAACGTAAATTTATAATACATATATAGGTACAATATAATACATCGACTATGTAATATTAATTTACAACATAAATAAAATTTCAGTTATTTATTACTCATAATAATAATTAGACATGATTTCCCTGTCATATCTGTTGTCTATCTTCTTTCATACATCTTCCTGCACCACTACCTATACATATTAATTACTATTGTAACATAGGTCCCAACCTTTTATTAGATTCATCAATTCTGTCTTATTCTGAATACATTTTTCAGTTGCGGTGTAAGTGCTGTGTAGGTCTTGAAACGGGATTCCCTGGATAAATCAAATCAAATTTGGTGCTTTGATTTGATTCCTGTTTTTAACCTACAGGGGCTGCTTCTATGTCCGCAAACCCTGTCGCAGACCCGCCGGGCACGACTGAGACGTGCATTCACTGAAGCTACGGGAGATACTGTTACCTACGTTAAGACGGTGGGCTTCAAACTATTGAATTATGCACCGCCAATGCTGCCCTCGGCTGTACAACCTTTTGTGTACCGAATCTCATTGAGTACGATAAATAAAAAAAAAGAAATCAATTTTGAAAATATAACCTATTAACTTAATTTCTTAAATTTAGGTTTCGACAATTAAAATTATACGATGTAATATAACCTTGTTCTGATTTCAGGCAACACACAATTTAGTTAGTATTTGTTTGTTATATCAGGTTGTACGGTCGAAAAGTCAGTACCTGTGGTTCACAAAAGTAATTTGGTAGTTCGCGAATGTGTCGTCCCCACATAGCTTCGTCTAATGACCACAGTTAGCCTTACCCCACGCCCCTTATATCCCTAGCACCGATATCGCTTCTCACGAACAAATCGTTTTCTGTACATCACGTTCGTTCGAGCAGAAATGTCATCATACATTGAGCACGCCTATTGGCAACTTGACAAATTGGCATTGAGTGTCGAGTGTCTTTGATATAGTGAAGATCTGTTCTACAGGTACGTTTACGATATCATTATCTTTTTGTTCATTCGTCACATCATTTTTCGCTGTATCATTAAGGAAATTTGGGTTTCGATTCTTTAAAAGAAAACGTTTTGTCATCACTTTAAGGAACCCATTACTCAAGCAATACACAGCACCTACACAACCATTAGCGAACCATATTTATGTCACATGGATATACCGCTATGCACTTTAGATCAATAACTAGATTGCACAGCTATATTGTTTTCCATATTTAGATTATATTGTATCATTTGCGATTGTTTAGGGATTATTTCATTAATTGCATACTGTGCTGTAGTTGACTATGTTTCACCTTGCTTTTGCATTAGCAAGCTATTATATAGTATAGCATATAGTAATAATTACATCAAATTCTTCATAAAAATATAGCCGTAGAATGCATAGTAACTATTTATGGTATATTTTATTAACATATTTACTAGTTATCTGTAGATAAAGTATCATACACGAGTCTATCTATCCAACTTGCATAATATCATCTAACATGTTCCGTCGTTATTCTAAATTTATAAAGCATAATACTGCGCCACTTCCTGAGATTCGAGCAACGAATTTTCGCAAAAAAGTTTAGAAGTAGCCTTTATCCCATTATGTATTAACCAATAAATACCCATGTTCGCGAAATAGCTATTTTAATATTTTCTCATCATTTATTAATGGGATAGAAGCAGTGCTTATAGATAACGATCTTTGTACTTTTTTTCCAAACTTTGTAAGACTTGGTTTGGAGCAAATTTTCACTAGATTTAAATACATTAAGCTTCCAGCTTTTACCGAGGGAAGTAAGTAAGCGTGATATTGAAGATTATTCTGCACTAGGGCGTCGCATCATTTATTGTAGTCATAAGAATAAGTGCTTCCAACTTGATGGCTGTGAGAACTAAATTTTTCATTCTATCAGATAATTTTATGTAAATTGTTTATGTAATACTTTCATATAAGTCTGATTTATTTTATAATGACAAACTTTACATATTTAAAATTGGAATATAGTATATTATCATACTTATTTAATACATACTTCATTAAACATAATTTATATTACATAATTATTATTATTAATATATAATTTAATTTATATATAATAAAACAAAAATAAACATTTCACAAATAATTACATTTATTGTTTTGTCGAAAATAATATTGAAAAATAATTTTATTATAACGCTGCATTTCTAACAGTTCACATAATTCTTACTACTACTATTACTGTAGCAATAAGGAGTTAAGGATCATTGGCCTTGGGCCGTACTTTAGGTATTGTGGTAAAGTTCTTTCCTGGTAGGTTCTTTCGACAACCTTATTTTTCCGTAATGGAGCGAGCTATTGTCCCAGAAATATGCCAAGTTCTGAGTGGATTGGTACGCATTTCAATTACATTTTCTTTACAACACATAATAGCAATCCAACCTCCATGATTTATGTGATATTAAGACATATTTGAATATAAACGGTATTACTGTGGCAGCAGCACAGAGTGAATAATGTTTATATACAATATTTGTATTATAACATAAATATGTATTATTAAGATTTAATGTATATTATTATTTTCCCTACAAAAATTGTTTTGATATCATTTCATAGAGTTTTTGTAAGTCTTAAGTGGTAAATTATATTATTATTATTTATTTCTGATTTTAAAAGTTTGATAGAATTTTAAAAAGTGAATAATGCTAGAAATCGATTTAAAGTTGTCAACCGCACATCTGGTCTTATTTTCTCCTGGTTAATAAACGTAATTATGAAAATTTGTGTCGTCTTTAATAAAATAATGTATCTCTAATAGAATAATGGATACGATAAATTCCTAGATATACAAGGACATAGACACATACACATATGATAATGTATATCATGAAGGCGACAATTGACATACATGCAGTTTGTCGAAACTATTTGAATCTGACTTTAATTATGACAATTAATTTGTTTATTGTTGATTAATTCTTGTATCAATTATATATATATTATTATATATATTATTTATTTATTTATTTCAACTTTAATGCACAAATACAATATATAAATGTACATATGGCGAACTTAACACCTAAGGGCGTTCTCTACCAGTCAACCATAAGGCAAACTGAGAAGTGAGTTAGCGGCGCATTATAGATACTAGGCTACATATATATATATATATATATATAGACAACAAATCTGGAATGTTTCGTGCATTAAATGAGGAAATTTTCATATGAAGTTATCTGCGTACTCATATATACTCATACTCAGCTATTTCGACTGGAAAAAACCTTTGCATTTAGGTTGACTTGATATGGTAGTGAAATTAAATGAGGCGTAACATGACCTTAGTCCTCTTAAATGGTACCACAAGAACACTGGGTACCACGGGCATCATATCAAATAATGTTCGTGTCATATATAAACGATATTTTTCACTAATCATCAGGCATCGTTACGTATTTATTATGTTTGTCATTCCAATTAAATAAAAAAAATGATGCAAATATAAGAGGACTTCGATATTCAATTCTTTACATATATGCATCAAACCTCAAA